AAGTGAATTGCGTCTTCAAAGTGATACCCACAAGTGCAGTCTGATATGTCAGATACATGTCGTCTAAACTTATCAGCGTTTAGGTCACTGCAGCCGAGCCTAAGGCGACAGTGGACAATTTGGCATGATCTATGACCGTATTTTAGGTCAAAATTATTAATGAAAGTAAGTCAGATAACTCCGACAAACCCTTAACTTTATAAGCTACCCCCATCCTTCTATATGCCAAAACATAAAGAAAGTGCCTCTGTTTAATTACCTGCAATGAATTTCAAGGATTTACAGGTCTTTCCCACATTAAGACCCTAATCATGTTTAGACCTAAACACGTGAAAAGTATGGGACTAGGAGCGTGTTTAGGTGTGTGTTTCGGATCTAAACACATTTGTATTTGCATGATGTAAGAAATGACTCGAGGGTAGGTTGCATTTAATGCCACGTTAAACTGTGTGAATGAGTTTAAACCGCAGTTCCATGCCATAGTGAACAGTATTTATTAATAGAAAGTGAGTTTGGTTTAACGCAGCAGTGAACAGTATTTATGTAATGGAAAGTGAGTTTGGTTTAACGCAGCAGTGAACAGTATTTATGTAATGGAAAGTGAGTTTGGTTTGACGCAGCAGTGAACAGTATTTATGTAATGGAAAGTGAGTTTGGTTTAACGCAGCAGTGAACAGTATTTATGTAATGGAAAGTGAGTTTGGTTTGACGCAGCAGTGAACAGTATTTATGTAATGGAAAGTGAGTTTGGTTTGACGCAGCAGTGAACAGTATTTATGTAATGGAAAGTGAGTTTGGTTTGACGCAGCAGTGAACAGTATTTATGTAATGGAAAGTGAGTTTGGTTTGACGCAGTAGTGAACAGTATTTATGTAATGGAAAGTGAGTTTGGTTTGACGCAGCAGTGAACAGTATTTATGTAATGGAAAGTGAGTTTGGTTTGACGCAGTAGTGAACAGTATTTATGTAATGGAAAGTGAGTTTGGTTTGACGCAGTAGTGAACAGTATTTATGTAATGGAAAGTGAGTTTGGTTTGACGCAGCAGTGAACAGTATTTATGTAATGGAAAGTGAGTTTGGTTTGACGCAGCAGTGAACAGTATTTATGTAATGGAAAGTGAGTTTGGTGAGGGGTGTTTACGAGCTAGAGCTTGGTTTTGGGGGCTGATGTTTTGGTTTATTAAGTTTTGGATGAGAGGGTTTGATTGGGACGCGGCCCAGAAATTTAAGCTTAGCTGTTCCCTGCGTAGACTTAGTGGCATTTCTCCTGTTAAGGCCTGAAGTGAGATGTAGGAGGTGCCATGTTGGGTGCGTGTAATTAGTTTGAGAGCCTGATATTGTATTGACTCGTATGATCATGAGTCAAGTTTTTTAGATAGAGAGTTGTTTAGGGTGTTGTTTATGGCGCAGCCGTAGTCTAGTTTTGATCTAATTAGTGATATGTAGAGAGAGAGGAGGGTATCTTTGGATGCTCCCCAGTTAGAGCCAGTTAGGCATCTTAGGGTGTTTAGGTCTTTACTGCATTTGGTTGTTAGGTTTTGGATGTGAGCATCCCAGGTGAGATGTTCATCGAAAATAAGTCCTAAGAATTTGGTTTGTTTTTGAAATTTGATTGTTTGATTGTTTAGCTGGAGGATTTGGGAGGCGGGTTTCATGTTTTTATGTTTGAATACTGTTCCTGTTGTTTTTTCTGAGTTAAGGGAGAAGCCCCATTTATCAGCCCATTGTTGTATTTTATTAAGAGATTTTTGGAGTAAATTTTGGACCATGTTCATGCTTTTAGTGCGGATCCAGATGGCTCCATCATCCGCGAATTTTGATGTGTTTACTTTAGGGGATAGGCCCTCGAATAGATCGTTTATCATTATATTGAAGAGGGTGGGGCTGAGGATACTGCCCTGTGGAGTACCATTTTCTAGGGGACATTGGTCCGATAGAGTTTGGTCTATACCCACGGTTATTTTACGATTGTTTAGGAAGTCCTGGATGTAGTTTATTATCTGACCTTTGAGTCCTATTTTTTTAAGTTTTTGTATTAGCCCTGGTTTGACGCAGTAGTGAACAGTATTTATGTAATAGTGAGTGAGTTTGACGCAGTAGTGAACAGTATTTATGTAATAGAAAGTGAGCTTGGTTTGACGCAGTAGTGAACAGTATTTATGTAATAGAAAGTGAGTTTGGTTTGACGCAGCAGTGTACAGTATTTATGTAATAGTGAGTGATATTCGAAGGATATCTCAACCTGTTGGAAGGTTAATTTTGATTATGCCAGGTGTGGCTTGTTTATTGCATGTGGACCTGCCGTGTCCATGCAAATTACAGTAGTTTGTTCATATGGATGCGCTGAGTCAGTGTAATTAAGCCAGGTGTGCGATGTACAGTTGCCAGTTACAGTTTGGTTCAACTTGATCTGACCCAGATTTAATTATTTACATGACGTTGTCATATAGCTTGAATATTGCCGAGTGTGCCTGCAGGTAGTGTCGTGAAGAAGAAGAAGAAACCTGTTTTATTTATGTGCCACCCGGCGTTGTATACAATAATACTTCAATTTGGTAAAATACAGGCAGATATATATAAAAAGAATAACGCCAGCCGGCCTATAAAGGCCTATGAGACACATGTTACACAGTAAAAAGCGTGTATTATACAAAAGAATGTCATGTAAACCCTCATTCATAATCCATTTGGTTTATTGGCTTCATTTTAACGAAAAAATAACTGTTCTCATTTTGATTATCAAACCGTGGCGTTCGTCAATACCAGAGTAAACTGTCATCTGCAGAGTTGGTGTCACGAACTATTGTTTATTGATGGGATGTCGCGGATGATGATATCACATCGTTACAGAAGTAGCTTCCAATAGTGTATGGGCATCCGCACTACACGTGTATACTATACACATCAAATGTTCGGGGGGCACGGGTGGCCCAGTCGTCTAAGGCGCCGCGATTCAATGTGAAGAGTTGCGTCCCTTGGGCCAGAAGCCTATGATTGTGGGTTCGATTCCCGGTTCGACCCGATTATGTTTCTAGGTTTGTCAGCACCATACCCGTGCTCGTGGGTTTCACCAAAGTGGTAAAAGTCTGAGACCTACATCACTTCGGGCTTTCCTCCCACATTAAGCTGACACGCCGCGATATAACTGGAATACTGTTAAAAGCGGCGTAAAACCCAACTCACTCACTCAATGTTCGAATTCCATCAGGACATGATCGACTCAACCATGCTGTGCATGAATACCAATCCACACATTTATCAATGGGAACCCAAATGGGGTGTGAAGCAAACGAACCCAGGGTGTTTCAACAGTGATAAATACCCTTTTCCGTTGTCACGATGAGTACATTTCATATGAATGGGAAGCCGCATGTGGGACCTCCTCGTACAAACAAGCTGTTTAACTGCGTGAATCAGTTCGAATAGGTCCCCCGCAACCTGTGCTTGTGAGGCGTAATGGATCGGGTGGTCAGAATCGGCGACCTGGCTGACGTAAAATGTATGTTACTGGCGTAGGATTACTTGAAAAACAGACATTCTTAAAAGCATTGTAATTTATAAGCGCCTCTGTAGGCTAGGGTTACATTCACTGGGCTACAGAAACGAAGGTTACGTCCGCGTTCGAGCCGCGAGAATATAAAGAAAACCTTTGTCATTTAATTTTACATTTCATTACATTCTGTTCAAATGAAAAATAAATTTCTTTAGAGAAACATTCATATGTTACAATATAAACTTAGGTTGTGTTAATAAAATTACTACTAGTAAACAAAATCCAAGCGCTATTATCCCTGTTTATGAGTTTGTATGTTTGTTTGTTTGTTGATTAACGCCACACTCAGCAATATTCCTGCTATATGACGGCGGTCTGTAAATAATCGAGTCTGGACCATACAGTTTGGTGATTAATATCATGAGCATCGATCCACGAAATTGGGATCGATGACATGCATCAACCAAGTCAGCGAGCCTGACAACTCGATCCCGTTAGTCGCCTATAACGACAAACAAAGTCGCCTTTTACGGCAAGCATGGGTTGCTGAAGACCTATTCTACCCCGGTTTATAAGAGAGGATTTTGATGTTTTCGACCCAACGTTTTTAATATTGCTGGATCCACCCATGCGGACCTCTAACTACTGAAATAGTGAATATTATTGCTGTTGGTTATGTAAAAGTGATTATATAGTAACATTATACATAATGTATTATCGTATAAAAAGTTCCATACATATGCATTAAGACAAACGTGTCTCGTCGACCATAAGAAGAAAGACTGAGTTCTTATTATGCCTGTGATGCATCATTGTTGCCTTTTACGGCAAGGATTGCTGATGACCTATTCTAACCCGGATGTTCGTGGGTAACACACTCATCAACATCCGTATGTTGTGAACACCGTCATTAGCATCTGTACATCGTGATAAAGCTGGCGCCTGTTTCCTAGGAGCATGTTATACGTATATGTGGCAAGCAAATTAGATGGTCCAAAGACGGTCGTCCGCAGACATGTGCATCAATAGACAACGTTTGTGGTGTGAGTGAGTGAGTTTGGTTTTACGCCGCTTTTAGCAATATTCCAGGAATATCACGGCGGGGGACACCAGAAATGGGCTTCACACATTGTACCCATGTCGGGAACCGAACCCGGGTCTTCGGCGTGACGAGCGAATGCTTTAACCACCAGACTACCCCGTTTGTGGTGTGTATTTACCCAGCAAGAATCAAAACCATTTTCCATATTAGCATGACCCATAATGAATTTTAATCACGACGATTCACGCTCTGAATTTTCAAACAAACTGTATCCTTTGGGCAGGGCAGTATACCTCTTTTGTTCATAATAACAAAAACATAGCCGCATGATAAATGAAATATGGGACCTAACCTGCTGCAACAAAGAGTGTAACGTTTTACTAATTGTTCCGTTTGAAGGAGAAGACAGAAGTAAATAATACCAACTGAAGTCGGGAATTTGTAAGTACAAGAACGTGTTTCAGATGGCGAAAAGTAGACTTGTAACGACGTCGTCCCACGGAACAGCACCGAGGAGATCTTGTCTCCGGCTGCCGTGTGATATATGATATGCGTGCACACGACGCATTATCAGCGTCCTACATAAGTTGTGCAAACGAGGGTCGCGGTTGTGTCTCCGTTTCCGTTCAGCGTTACATGTTGATTCGGGACGGACTTTGGGAAAGGAAAAAGCTACATCCGGACGTGTCATATATGCCATTAAAGTTGCAATAACGACACGACGCCGTCCCCGCATCGATTCTGGTTACCCCACCGATAATTTCGGAAGCTCAGCCTCCCGTCGAAGTGTATCTGCCGGCGCCTACCCTTGTTTCAACCAGGAAATTAAACGGTGAGAAATTAAGATTTGTATCACTAAATAATTAGACTTTTGGGAATGAGAGAGAGGGGGGGGGGGAGTATTTATTTGTATTTCTTATTTATTTTGTCTGTATATTATCCCATTTGTGTTTAGCCATTATAAGGGCGTTGCCACTTTTAATGGCTCGTAGCAATATAATCACTCGGCAATATATTCTAATGACTATATTAATGCAATTAGTGTCTGTGCGGCCGGGAGTTATGCCTACCCTTCTGTCATATGACGTGACTCTTTAATAAAGTAGTAGTAGTAGTAGTAGTAGTAGTAGTAGTAGTAGTAGTAGTAGTAGTAACTTATTTCAGTGGCATTTAGAAGTTGGTGTGAACTTGTCTTACTTCAGTAGTAGTAGTAGTAGTAGTAGTAGTAGTAGTAGTAGTAGTAGTAGTAGTAGTAGTATGATTTAGTTGTTTTTATTATCAAAGTTAGTTTGCCTGACCAACTTAAGTTTAAAATTCATGTTAATAGCTGAAACTTATTTTAAAAGATATGAACGAAGATCATCATAAAAAAATCAGTTAAAAAGTGACATTAATTTTCAAGTAAAGGGTACAGGTATCAGGTAAAGGCGTGGAAGGCTTTGGGTATCGACCGGCCATATAATTAATATATGATAGCAGAATACCATCTCGTCGATGATCTCTAAACCTAACATTTCTACCCGTGAAGATCCGGGGTAAAATAGGTCATCAGCAACCCATGCTTGCCGTAAAAAGCGACTGTGCTTGTCGTAAGAGGCGACTAACGGGATCGGCTGATCAGGCACGCTGACTTTGTTGATGCATGTCATCGATCTCATTTGCGTGGATCATGATATTAACACAAGGGAAAATTCCAATATATACAAAATATACAATTTGTATATATGGTATATTCAAAAATATTCAATTTTGATTATATGGTATATCCAAAAATATACAATAATTATTATATATATGGATATGGATAGATTTACCACTGCTTTCAGTTTCTTCTTACTGGATTCTCACAATATATGTGGTTGATATTGAAAATATTACTAATAATACCGGACAGTATTATTGCATGTGACAATTATACTTTAAAACTATGTTCATTATGAGAACTGTATTTGGAGTGTTATGAAATAATTGGCATTTATTCATGTTGACAGCATTTTACATAATAAAGAAATAGAAGATTTGAGCAGACTTTTGTAACAGTTAGATATATAATACGTTCGCCTACTGTTTACAAATAAGATGATTTATACATACAAGTAGTTCAGAGTAGTTTTAAACAATGACGGTAAAATAAATTTATCATGAATAGCGGCAAATATGAATATATACAATTTGATATATATATGTTTCTGTTATGTCATGGTATGGTGATTCTAAATCTAAAATATTGCTTCATATTGTTTGACAAACAGTTGTATGCACTGTCCATCGTGATACTTCTACTTAAGTATATAAAAAAGGATGTTCGTTTAGTCAATTGACATGCGTTCATTGTAAACAAGGATTAGTGTGACTAGATAACTAAGTTTGTCATCTGGTATAATGCACTTCCTCGATTAGCATAATTAGAACAGAGTTTGTAATTAGTTATATCCGGACTCCAGTTAACCAAGGCAGCTAGCATCAGTGGAGAGTGTGAGCAGCTGGAGAAGAGGCGAGCAACTCAATGTGATTTATGAATTTGTGGAATTTTAATAAATAAACGAACACCTGTCACAAAAATGCAGTCAAACATTGAACACACAGAATCGCAGAATTTTCTATCGTACATTTGAGGGTAAACGTGAACGAAGCCGTGCAGGATGCCTTACAGAGGTTTGACTTCAGAACACACAGTGAGCTCAGGCAAGTTTATTAATGATGATATGTTCATTCATGCGTGCAAGAGATATGGCAATCATGAGCGCAGACTCTATATGTGTTCGCAATAGAACATTTGGAAGAAATAAAAGTTACTTACAAGACTAGTACACAACAAAGTCATTAAGTGAACATTAAATATATTGATTCACAATATGACAATATCAAATCCTATATTTGTTTAATGAAACAGGTTTAAAGCAATCCAAATTGTACAATCATTATTATAAAATATAGCATGTTTATATATGCGTGTCGCTCCCCATCTAAGGTCAAATACATAAATGTATAAAAATGTTTTAATACAATTCAAAATTACTATAATTATTTTTACATTATATGTAAAACTATGGAGCCTAGCATGTCGAGCCAACAAACTATTGTATATATTTTTCATCCTTAGAATTTCTGTTTACTGTGTTTGCGGCGGGGTCCAGACAATTCCCCAAATGGACAATTCCAAATACCACTGCGTAAAATATCAATGCCAATTTGGAGAAGTTTACCAAATGGATTAAAGCAAAAATAAAATTTAATCCAAAGAAAACATAAACTATTCAATTTCAAGTTAAAGTCTGCCCTCGTGCAAAACCTAATCTTAAAATGAAAGGATTTTTTTTAATGACTTTAGGAATAATATTTCAGTCAGATTGTTTATGGCATTCTTATATTGTCGTTATAGTTAAAAAGGTAAGCCCTATGATTAATTGCCTTAGAAATACCTTTCTGGTGTCCCCCGCCGTGAACCATACATACTCATTCACTCAAGTTAAATACCTCCTTTCACATAAATCGTTAGAAGTTATGTACAAACATATATTGCCCATATGTTTGCTCCCATATTTGGGATAATTCTACCAAAGAAGAAGAATCAATCCTAGGAAGTTTACTCCTAGATTCATTACGGACTATTTGTGGGGCGACAAGGGGTACAAGTCATGAGGAACTTTATAGAGAAACTAACAAAGCCAAAAGAAAACACTATTTTACAAGATTGAAAACATCTCTTCTGTTAGTGATTACTTTTAAAGAAATCGAACCAAGTTACAGGCTACAAGTTGCAGAACAGAATGTTATGCCAAGTCCTTCCTTCCTGATACCATTAATAATTGGAATAGTCACCTGATACAGACGCACGCACACACCCACATCGCTATATAAGAGCAATATTCTTAAACGCGACATTAAAACCTATTTTACCTCACCTTCAAGGTTAAAAGAAATTTTCCCAATACCATTGTCAAATGGAACTACTTTCATGGCCCATAACCGTCCTAAAATAAAACTATATCTGCAGATTGTATTCTCATAAGTCACTTATCATGCCTCTTCGTTAAATTGAAAAATGTAAGGTAACTTAGTACTGACCATACAACTGACTTTTTTCATATTATGATATAAGAACTTATTAGTGAAGTTTCAATGCATTCTTTGATTAAATGAGTAATTTTATAATCGTGTTATGATTACGAAAGTGGTTATTTCAATACAAGTCTACATATACATATTCGGGGAGGGTGAATACGCGAACAGATAATTTCAGTTCATCAGAATTGTATTGACTTCATATCATTGGCAAATGAATATCCGGACTAGAATGGATCTTCAGCAACCCACGCGTGCCGTAAAAGGCGACTATGCATGTCGTAGGAGGCGACTAACGGGATGGAGTGGTCCGGCTCGCTGACATGGTTGATGCATGTCATCGTATCCCAATGGCGTGGATCGATATTCATGATGTAAATCACTGGATTGTCTGGTCTAGACTCGATTATTTACAGACCGCCGTCATATAGCTGGAATGTTGTTGAGCGCGAAGTTAAAGAACAAACAAACAAACAAGCAAACAAAGAAGTCATATAATTTACCGTAAGTCTGTGATATATGTGGGGTCTAATGCCAGACTGAATAAAGCCACCCACTGGCACACTGGACTTTGCCTGTATATCTAACCATCAAATGTTGAAGAAAAATCGATCACTAAAGAAGCCCCTGTTAGATACAATACGTTCTTTACAACGATTGTGCTTCAGAACGTATTTAACGAAAGAAAGCGATTTAGATACATTTTGAAATACACGTATAAGGAAAGCATACCGTGTGATATAATGCCTGACGAACGAATGCAGTAATTTATTTATTGCTCGCATAAACATTGCATATTATTATTATTATTAAATTATTATTATTATTATTATTATTATTATTATTATTATTATTATTATTATTATTATTTAGGGTTACGGTTTATTATTTAATCAATATTTAAGGTTGAAAAAATACCGATGGTATGAGAGTGGATTATGAATACAACACTTTAGCTTATGATTCGACCATATACGTTCTTGCAAGTAATAATAACCTTTTTAATGCTTGCATTACTGCAATACAACAGTGAGAGTCCGTGGACTCTCTCTATTTCAAACATGACAGTACGTGTTTGTTCGCGAGTACCGCGTTAAATCAAAGACAACTGCAAAAACTTACGAACTTAACAAAGTACACTATGGCAGTTATACAACAAGTTTGGAGATGCATGCTTGTGTCTATGCATGTCTGGTGTTTCGCGAAAATTAGTAGACCTATCGATAGTGTTTAACCCTTCTGGGAGCAGAGTAGACGTTGACGAGTACAGTTGCACAGCGATACCTACATATGTACGTCCTCATTGGAATCAGTTAACGCCAAAAATAGCCCCGCCCTACGTGATGATATTATTCAATGTGTAATACAGCTGTATATGTGTATTAAGCAGTGCACGGCTGAGTCATACATGACAGTCATATGTAATATGCCATCAGTAATCGTGATAAAGTTAATGATTCAACGAGACATACTTTACATCGGCCATTTTCAGTGTACAGTAAACTACGGTTATAACGAACACGCTTATAACGAACTTACGGATATAACGAACTTACTTTTTGATCCCGACAAGTTGCTGTAGTTATGCTGTATATATGCTTATAACGAACTACGGTTATAACGAACTAAAATTAGTAGTCCCTTTGAGTTCGTTATAACCGTACTTTACTGTATATGCTAATAGAGGGGTCGGGGTAGCCTTGTGGTTGAGGCGTTCGCTCGTCATGCCGATTCCCTAAATGGGTATAATGTGTGAATCCCATTTAT